GGCGGCGAGACGTTCGCGGGGGTACACCCTGAACAGGACGCTTCAGGGTTCCCACCAGACCAGCGCGTTGCACACCACTCGAGAAGTTGGAGATGGAATACGAACGGTGTATGAGGGTTAGAGCGGAAGACCTGGACTTAGAGCCAGGAGTGTACATACATGAAGGGAGCGAGATGCTGGCACAATTGCGGGACCAGTTGGTCATGCTGCCAGAATTGAGCGAATTATACCCAGAATGTGACATCGATCAGGCTGATGTGGGAGTCCCAGGTGAGACCTCTCCCGAAGATGAATCCAGGATGCGTGCCATCCTGAAGCGCCATAGAAAGATTTTCCTGGGCGACGGAAATGCCGCACCTGCCCCTGCCAGAGGAGTGGTATGTGACCTCGATGTAGGAGACGCCAAACCTATCGCGTTGCGCCGTCTATTGGACCGCAGGTGGCGGTCAAGGTATACGAACACCCGAACCCCTCAAGAAATTACTCGAGAACAATCTGATTGAACATTCCGAATCGCAGTGGGCATCTCCGATCGTGATCGTGCTCAAGAAAAATGGAGTGGACATCAGGATGTGTATTGACTTGTGAATAATTTCATCCAGCTGTCTAGCTATCCGCTACCTCTCATCGACGACTTGCTAGTTGGTTTCGAGAAAGCACTCTGGTTCATGAGCCTGGATATGGCCAGCGGTTTCTGGGCAATCAAGATGACCGAAAGAGCCAAATTGATTTCAGCTTTCGTATGTCCGTTTGGGCATTTTCAGTGGATTCGAATGCCATTTGGTCTGAAAAACACCTCTCTGATTTACCAGCAAGTGATCAATAATTGCCTGTGGGGATTCGTGCGTCTGCCCCTAGAAGAGGAGGCGAAAGTAGACCAAGAAGTTTTGGATTACCTGGATCTGGACCCCCAGGATGATGGACCTCCAGGGTGTGGAACTCCAGGGTGCACCGGTTGTGAAGACGGCCATACTTCTCGGTCGTTGTCGACCCTGGCGGACCCAATGACCGTGTTCAAAAGGAACATCCCTGCTCCAACCCAGATGTCACCTGTCTTAGGGCGCAGCTCTTATATCGATGATATAGCGCATGGCTCACCAACTTGGGATGCATTGTGTTCTGATTTGGATGCTTTGCTATACAGGCTGCGGTATTGGAATATCTCAGTGAGTCTGCCGAAGAGCGAGTTCGGGAAACTGTCCATTCCGTATCTGTCGCACGAAATTATCGCTGAAGGAATCAGGGCAACACCGAAGATCGCTAAAGGTATCCAGGATTTACTGTTCCCAACTACCCTGAAGGGAGTGCAATCTTTCTTGGGCAG